ATTAAACTTTGAATAACTTTTAAACTATTTATAGCTATTCTCTTTTTATTCCTTCAGTTTTTTCACAGAAAACGGGGTCAAGATTCTTCTAATCATTTTTTATTCAGAAACTCGAAACAAGAATATAGAATTTAGTATAGAATATATAAAGTAAAATCTTCACGAATATTTTTCTTTCACCTAATTATCTTTTATTTTTGAGAAAGATATAAAAGAATTCAAAAGTATGAGGATACTTATTTATTAATTACAATGAATATTTAAATAAATTATAATATTTATTAAATTTTATGTATTTATATTATTTATATTACATTAAATTAATATAATTGATATAAGTAATTAATATAATGTACATATTTAATGAATTATCTATTTCATATTTAATCTAGAAATAAAAGAATCAATTTTAAGAAAGTAATTGAAGATATTAAAATAAAATATAATAAAAAAATCAATAATTTCAAAATTTTAAATAATATTGAAAATTTTATCTTTCAAAAATAATATCTATTATCTTTATCTTAAATTATTTTGACAAAGCAGCATTTTAAAAGTATCTTTTAATGACCCATCTATAAGATCTCAAGCAACGACCTCCTTCCTGACCTAGTGTCAAAGAACCTTGAGTTACCACAGTATCCAGGAAATCGCGAATAGTCACAGTCCCAGGCTTCTCCATTTCACTAACTTTCTATTCATAACAAACCTGATCTCTATTCGCACGAAGCGTCCTTCAGATATTTATATTCAATATAGATATAATATACATAAGATAGAATATCCAGAAAAAAAGAGTATCTATTGATATATAATTAATATGCGTTATAAATTTTTTATTTATTTCAGATATATTATAGAACAAAATATTTAGAGGACATCTAAATTTAATTAATCTAAATTTAAAAGACATTGTTTCAATTGTCAATTTTCAATTTATATTAAGTTTTCTATTTATTTATTTATTAGAAACCCAATTATTTATTTATTAGTGTACCCAAGAATATGGATATTCATTGAATCCAAAAGATGTTTCTTCAACTATAAGTCCTCTATCCATCAAAGATACAATGTATAGATATATTAAAATAGTATATTCAAAATGTCTATTATATAGGATATAGATTTCCTATCTATCATAAATATAAGACAGATTATTCAAGAAAGTATTTATCAAATTCTTTCAATTGCTTTCTATAAGTTTCTTATTTATATCATATATGTAAATAAGAATATTTAGAAAAATATCTATTAAATTCAGAAAATGTTTTTTATAGATATTTATAGATTACTTATTGATCATAAAAGTACTCTACATAGACACAGGATACATAGATATTTATCAAAAGATATTTCTTCAGCTAATTCTTAGAGATTTCCTATTTATCATGCAAACATTCTCATCAGAAGAGAATGAACTAGAAATTAAAAGATATTCCTTCAATTATAATTCTTTTATTTATATAAATAGGATATTCAAAAAAACATAAAACCATAATATTTTCTTTTAATTGACATATTATAAATTTATAATATAATATTATAAATATAATAATATAATTAGAATTAGTGGAATATCCAAATAGTATTCTTTAGCTAGAAGTCTCCCATTCATCAAAGATACATTCTACATAGAGTATCCAAAAGAATAGTTATCCAAAAGATTTTCAATTGTCTTTTCAACTGAGATTTATATATATATTATATATAAGTTCTCCATTCATAACAAAGATCAGAACTATATATCCAGAAGATATTCCTTCAATTATAAGTCTCCTACCTATTACATATTACATATGTATATATTTACCTATTATATAGGTATATTATATAGGTATATTATAGGTATATTATATAATAGGTATATGTATATATACCTATTACATATGTATATATTTACATACATAACAAACCATTCAATAAATCATCCATCGAACTTAGAAGGCGTTCCTTCCCCTATCCATCATAGATATAGATAGGATAGTTGAGAAATAGAGTAAGAGAAATAGAGGGGGAAACGTGGCAGATTATCCGTGGTGGTCGGCCCGATCGAACCTAGAAAGGCGGTTGTTCTAAGGTTTCCACGCCGACTGTAGGAAGCCAGCCCGTGGACTGGCTCTCGAACCCGCCAGAGTGAGAATCGTGACTCGTGGATCGTTAAAAAATCAAAAAAATCGACTTGTGCCACTCCTACCCCATTAATCTGGCTCCCTTCTACCCCGGATGGATCGGAACGAGAGCGCAAACGAGGGTGGAAGCTCGCCGGACACGGTAATCGCGCG